CTTAACACTTAACAATATGATAAAAATATTGTTAATAGTAACTTAACAGATTAAAAATATTTTTATCATATTTTTATAATATAATAGTTATATAATTATCATATAATAATCATAAATGGCAAAAATTCAAGTTTCTGCTAAGTAGCTTGCTTAATTTAACTTCTTCCAACTTCATTCTATTATTGTACCCACTATTAATAATTATACCAAATTTTTTTCAATTTTATCTTTCATTATCAACTCCAAAATTATTAATTTTTCATATTTTGGGCTTAGAAGTGCTTGAGCAGCCCCAACTTTTTCCATTGGTAACTTTGCCTTTTAGCCAAACTTTTTTAAGAATTCTAGAGATGTTGCTTTTGTTAAATTCAGAGCTAGGATTAGTTTTACTGATCATCGAAATTATCATCAGAATCATTATTTTAACTGAGTTTTTCACTGTCGCTGACCTTGTTACGAATGTCAAGGAAAATAAATTTATTATGCACAACAGAAGAAATGTAACTCTGATTTTTTAAATACTCATAGAAATTTCTGTACTCTAGCCAGAAATTTCGTCAGAATGTTCAAAGTCAACAAATTCGTCATAAATGTTTCATTCTATACTGTATTTCAAAAAAATAATTTAACAAATTACAATATTATTATAATAAATGAGACATAAAATTAGTTCTGGCCTGAAAGTATATATGGGTTTCTAACCTAAAAATACAATAATATTTACATTTGGTGGATTTCTTTATCTCATATTGGTAATATAGTTCCATCAGTAATAACTTTCTACATTTCTTTTTTCAGAAACACCTAGCCAGTAAGATGCACTTCCTTAACTGATATCTTTTTTTTACAGAATGAAATTAGTAAGAAATTAAGATAATGATAAATAAGGTTTGATTACTTCCTTTTATATATAATTTAATTTCAATATACTTTAATCCATCATGTTTTGACATTAAGCTTTAACCTTTTGCAGATATAAAGGTGGAATAATGCAAGTAATTGTAAAGTGTGTGATAAAAAAAAAATTAAGGTAAAACAATAGGAAGCCCAGCACGTTGACCAGATACTCTTTGAACAGCACGTTGATCCCTCGAGAGCACTATCTCATTATTGCCCAGCATGTTGACCAGATACTTTTGAACAGTATGTTGACCTCTCAAGAGTGCAATTACAGAAAATGCAAATTTTAAGATAAAAAAAAAACAACTTTTATTTTTAATTCTTCAAACTTGTTTGGAACATGAGTTTGTACAGCTCTTATAAAACTATTTGTTCAAACACTTTTTAGGCTACACTGCTTGAGAAATTAAAAAATACCTAAAGCTGTTGAGGAAAAAACAACGCAATTTCAATTATATACTGCAGTACTCTAAGAGTCACGTGTGTATTACTATATTACAATTAAGTAAAGGAATAGGTCGGACGACTACTCCGGAATTCAAAAAAAATTAATATTGGTATATATTTTAATTTTTAAAAAGCTATTATGAAAACAATGTATTTTTATTTGATAAATTTTTTTTGATCCTATACAACGAACCTCTCTATAACGAACTCTGAATATAGATAACTTAATTTCCAAATTATATAATATATAGCTCGTTATAAAATGCTATGGGCTTTAATGAACTTTCAATTCGGTATAAAAAGGTCGATTGTAATTTTTTTGATAATAAAAAATAATATTACGAAACGTTATTTAAGAGCTTTTAACAGATAATACTGTAATACAATGATACTAAAGTTGTATTTTATGCATTGTTGTTATTTATTTAACTAAGTAGTCGTTGGCAGTGTCTGAAATTGGGTTGCGGAGTCTGCGGACTGCAACAAAATTTTAAATTCCTGCAACCAAAATCTGAAGTGCACATGCAGATTCTGCATATAAATTTGCAAAATTTATCTATAAATTTTGATTAAATGTTCATGTGCACAACTAAATTTTTATAAATTTTTATAATCCGCAAGTCAGTTTTTTAAATTGGTTGCAGCCCACAACTAATTTAAAAATTGAATTTCAGACACTGGTCGTCGGGACCATCACATGATCATCTGAAGCACAACCTTGATCTGTTCTGAGAAATAATTTTTATGTATATAACATATTTTTATTCATTATTTACAAATACAGTTGGTACTATCTAATTGCATATACTCTCTAAATGCATAAAAAATTTTGGTTTTTAATTGTTAATGCAAAAATAGTTCTTATGACTTAAATGCATATATGCAAAAAAAAAGTCTACGGATAGTATGCAATTAGATGGTACCGACTGTAATATAAATTTAAAAAACAATCCATTTAAATTTATTTTATATAAAAAAAATAAATTATTTTATATCAAAACTCGCAAATGTGATGGAATTTTAGATTCATCTACCTATTTTCCGTGCCCAACCAATTCCAAATCGATGTTATTTCTATAATTTTATAAGGTATTAAATTTGTTTTTATTCTTATTCATGTTCTTGAGTTGTAAGTTCCACATTGTGTATAGACTGAGCATCAGATCGCCTTTTGTAATTTTTTTATACACTTCATTGCTGTCTATGGGTTCACTATCATTTTCTTTTTCAAAGTAATAAGTAATTTCTTGTTTTCGACTTCTCAAAACAATATTTTGATTATTTCATCGATAATACGAATTTCCTAGATGCATTATGATAATTTCAAAAAAATCCAGTTTCTTTTCTAAATCATTTTGCAAGCTAGGATCCAATGTTCTAAAATGAATTCCTATCTTATTAAATTTGATAGCACTTTTTCCAGGATCACTGTTTGCAATATCCGCTTTAAACGTCACAACATCTTTTTCTAATAATTGTGAAATTTCATTTTGATACGATTTATTATCCCAAATCGCAAACGGCTTTATTGAATTAGTTTTATAAAATTTTTCATTGTTAATTGCGTTATCGCATTTTAAGTTTATAGATGTATAATATTTGCGAATTTTCATACTAATCGATTCTATTTGGTTTATAGTTTTTTTCTTAACATTCTGTAATATATTTTTTTTTTTTTTAATATTTAAGGTGAGACCTTGCTCTTATCTTTATTAAACTTAATGAAAACTTTTTACATGACTGAAAAAGGTTTTATATTTTAAGCCTAGTGCTAAGAATAAGAACTCAGACATATAGCTAAGAAAACCTAGAAACTAAGTGTACCTAGTAACTTATCTGCGGCCTAAACCTACCATTCTGTAATATATTTTCTGTTAAGGTTAGACTTTTTGGTATTTTACATTCTTTTTGATAAATAAAACCAAATGAAAATACCCATTGTTTAAAAGCTTGCATAGCGCTATTATATTGACCAACACGATATTATACTGATTGATTTTTTCAATATGAGAAATAGCATTTTTTAAATTATCATCTTTAATTTCGATTAAATCAGCTCTTGGTAATCTGATATTCATAATATATTGAACCAATTTTTCTTGTTCCTAATAACTTTCTATTTGATCGTATACGATTAATAATGTTTCCAAACTTTCATCCAATTTATCCATACTACGAACTATCTTTTTTTCTATTTCAAAATTTTTGATAAATTAATGTAGTTCGCTTTTAACATCTTTGATCGAACTTCGTATGTGCTATTTTGTTATGTCTAAAGCAGTATAAGATTTATTTTGTAAATTTTTTTCGACTTCTTTGATATCATTTTGTATTCCTTTCACCATACACTAGTCGAACAATAAAATTTCAGCAACCTATCTGCTAGCCGATAGGTCACATATAGATCACCGAAATCCAGTATAATCCAGGCGATACATACTATACCAATAGCTCACCGATACTTGGCATGTATCTGTGACCTATCAGATTGGCACGTATCGGCAAATTTCTGCAACCTATACATGAACTATCTACAAAAGATATCGGCTAGCATATATTGACATTAATCTATATGATACTTCCATTTACGCTACGTATCTACACATTTATATAGGTTTCTGC